AACCATGCCAGCCTTCCTCCTTTGTGAAGCTCCGCTGTTGCATCCCTCTCCCCTACGACACTGGTCTTCAGGATGCCCTGTGAAGAGAACACCACCACCCTCTTCCACACACCATGGGATTGAAACTTGGAGGGGCTGTGACATTGGCCACGGTTGCCCAGCAATGATCAGAAGAACCAGCCCCAGTCTGTGTGACTCAGGTAACCAGCGACTTCCACAAGTCACACTCGTCTCCCCTGTGAGTCAAACAGCAGCACAGTCTGTGCATCGCAAACCCAGAGGCCTCCCAGTTGCTAGCGAGTGCCCAGACCTAGGCCAGGCAGGGAGTAGGTTGATGCTTGGGTGAGCGGGGTCCCCGCCTACGAGGGTCCCCACAGCCTGGTGGCTCACAGTGAGTCAGGCAGTGACTCAGGCCTTGCTGGCTCTGAGCTGCACAAGAAGCTGAGTCAGGAGCACCAAGTTCCAAAGAACCCTGGGCCAGGGCCCCAGGAACCAGGAAGGTGAGCTCAGAATGGATTGTCGAGGGCTGACCCCCATTACCCTGCCCTGCCTGCAACTGGTAATAATGAGGGGCAGCTCTCCCTTGCCTGGCCTGACATTGCAGGCCTTTACCCTTCAGGCTCAATTTTAGCGAGGAGTTAAGCCACCATCCGCAGAGACTGCACATGCAAAGGGTCATATCTGGTGGTCCCAGTAACCTAGGGATGCTCAGCATTCTGTGCCCAAGGTCAGGAATGACCAACATCCTATAATGTGCAAGACCGTCCAGACCCTCAAATGCCAACAGCCCAAAATCCAGGCAGGGCTCCATTATGGAGGAGCATTAGATGAAGTGCTTCCAAGTCTCCCCTAACACTGTGAGGACGAGGTTAAACGTTACCCTACCCAGGGCCCTCCCACAAGGAGAACTAAGTTAAGTACTACATACCCACTAAGGAGCACCAGTTGAAACACTACCCTAACTTCCTCCCACTGAGAAGGACTAGGTTAGACACTGCCTGACACTGCTCCCGCTGATTGCTGGAGAGACATTTCCAACTAGAAGAGCTTACCCTCGACACCTCCTAGGAGTCCCCTCTCTAACACAGGCTTTCTGAGCACTTGAAGCCTATTCTGAGGTCCCCCAAGTCCCAGCCACAGAGTCCCCTGTTGATACAGCAGACTCCTGGCTCCCACCTACCTATCTGCTAGGAGACTTCAGCCCCAGCTGTGTGATCACAGCCCCAAGTCCCAGGTCCCTGGACCCCAGGCACACATCCCAGCTGCCAAGGTCACACATCTGGAACATGAATTTTTCAGAGCTTGGATTATTGAAGTGTCCAGTTTTTTTACTGCCCAGTCTTAAATCCTACCTGTAAACTCTTAGACTTCAACACAGAAGCTTCTAGACTAATTGATTCTGAGCTTGGAATCCTTGAACTCACTCTGCTTTGACACCACCCCAGCTGTGATCTGATGTTCCCAACTCCAGTACAGAAACAGCAGCTGTTGCCATGGACAGCACCAGACATTCAGGATTGAGGAGAGTTTCCTGAGGAAGACGGGGAAAAGACAGGAGGAAGGGAGGAAAGAGGTAGAAAATGAAGGATGTGGAAGGAAGATGGAAATGGAGGAGATGGAAGACGGAGGATGGAGGAGATGAAGGAGATGGAGAAGATGGAGGAGATGGAGGAGGATGGAGGAGATGGAGGAGGATGGAGGAGATGGAGGAGGATGGAGGAGGATGGAGGAGATGGAGGAGGATGGAGGAGATGAAGGAGATGGAAGAGATGGAGGAGGATGGAGGAGATGGAGGAGATGGAGGAGGTGGAGGAGGTGGAGGAGGTGGAAGATGAACAGAAGGGTGAAGAAGGGGAAACAGAAGGTGGAAGAAAGGATGAAGGGTGAGAAAAGAGAAGGGGTATTGAAGGAAAAGCAAGATGGAAGAAGAGAAAAGAGGTGGAAGCCAGAGAGGATGGAGGAAAGGGAGGAGGGCTGAGAATGAAGAATAAAGAAAGGAAGGAGGATCAGGGAGAAAAGATGGAGGACAGAGGATTGGAAATGAAGAACCTTCCAAGAGGACGGAATACAGAAAAGGAGTATGGGGAATGGAAATTGGGTTAAGAAGGAAAGAAGGTGGAGAACAGAGGAAAAGGAAAAGATGGAGAAAGAAGGCCAGAGGAGGGATGAAGGGTGAGGAGGATAGAAGGAGAAGAAAGATGGTTGAAGGTGAAACAGGGGGCATAAGGATGGAGGGTCGAGGGGGAAGCGGGGTGCAGATAAGGAAATGGGAGGAAGGGAGGATGGTGGAAGAAAGGGGATGGGGAAATAAAGGAAGATGGAGAAGGTGGAAGATGGAGGAGATGAGAGATGGAAGGGATGAAAGAGAAGTGGAGAAGATGGAAGATGGATGGTGGAGGTAAGAGGATAAAGTACGTGGAAGGAAGGAGGAGTGGGGTGCAGGTGGAAAGCAGGAGGATGGAGGGAGGAGGGGATGCATGTGGGTACCAGGAGAATAAGGATGGAGGGAGGAGTGGGTGCAGATGGATAGCAGGAAGATAGAGGGAGGAATGGGATGCAGGTGGGTACCAGGAGGATGGAGGGAGGAGGAGGTGCAGGTGGGTAACAGGAGGATGGAAGGAGGAGGGGATGCAGGTGGGTAGCAGGAGGATGGAAGGAGGAGGGGATGCAGGTGGGTAGCAGGAGGATGTGTGAAATCAGAAGAGAGCAGAGAAAAAGGAGAAGTGTGGCTGATCTGTGTTCCTTTGGTTAAATCTCTCTTTTTAAAATTTATTATTTTCGTATGTTTGAAATATGTCTTCAGGGGTCTGCAGAGGCCAGAAGAGATCCCTCAGAGCTTGTCTTAGTTAGGGTTTCTATTACTGTCATTAAACACAATGACCAAAAGCAGCTTGGGGAAGAAAGGGTTTATTTGACTTACAGCTCCATCACTAAGGGAAGTCAAGATAAAAAGTCAAGGAAGGAACCAGAAGACAGGAACTGAAGCAGAGGCCATAGGGGAGTACTGCTTACTGTCTTGAGCCCCATGGCTTGCTCAGCCTGCCTTCTTATAAAGCTCAGTACCACCAGCCCAAGAGTAACACCACCCCAAGTGTTTGTGAGCTGTCCGTGGGTCTTCTAGAAGAGCACACACTGTTAACTACTGAACATCTCTCCAGCTCCGAATCTTTCGCCCAGCTCCACCAAAGGTCCCTTCTATCCCTCCCAAGCCAGCTCCATTGTGTCCCGCCCCAAGTGGACTCACTGAGCAGAGGAGACAGGGAGGGTGACATCAATGGGCAGTGACTGGAGGGCCCTATTTAACCAACAGGTCAGCAATGTAGCTGCCCAGGCTAGCAGGTGACAACCTGAGTTCTAGTGCTAGGCATGTCCAACTGATGAGCATGGCCGGCCCTGGCTCCCAAAGCTGGAAGGAGACAGCTCACCAGCCCCTCCTCTCCAGATGGAGGCACTGGGACTCAGAGAAAAGGACAGGCACAAAGTCACACACACTCAGCAGACAGGACACTGGCCAACTCCCTAGTAGGGACCTCTCCATGGCACTTGGGACAGACAGCATGTGCCATGTCAGCCCAGTCAGCCCTGTCAGAGCCAATCAGAATCCACATTCCCAAGCCAAGGTCTTCTGCAGGCCAGAGTCTTGGTAATCAGCCTACCAACAGAAGTTCAAAGAGGTCCAGTGATGTCATACAGCACCCAAGATGCTCTTCTGTCACCCGGCAAGATAGGCCTCTGACCTTGCCCACTGTCTCCCTGGTCCTCTAGCCTTCTCTTCCTTGAAAGCTCAAACCTCAGCCAGGCATGGAGGGATCCACACCAAAGGTTTACCTTCCTTGGAAAGCCCAACACAGACCTGGGTAGTGGTGGCACACACCTTTAATCCCAGCACTCGGTAGGCAGAGGCAGGAGGATCTCTGTGAGTTCGAGGCCAGTCTGGTCTACAGAAAGAGAAAGTTCCAGGATAATCAGGACCACATAGAGACCCTGTCTCAAAAAAGATGGAAGGAAAGAAGGTAGCTCTAACCTCTGGCAGCACTTCATCCTGGACAGTCTGCTCATGTGCTCCATGCTCCTAAAGTGTTGTTCTCAACACTTTTTGTTTGTTTTTGAAGACAGGGTTCCTCGGTGTAGCTTTGGAGCCTGTCCTGGAACTCGCTCTGTAGACCAGGCTGGCTTCGAACTCACAGAGATCTTTTGTGTCTGCCTCCCGAGTTCTGGAGGTAGAAGGATCAGAAGTTTAAGGTCATCCTTAGCTTCACAACTAATCTCAGCTATAAGAATCCTTGCCACAAAAAGAAAGAAAGAAAGAAAATTCCACAACTTGATGTGAGTTTGCATGAAGAGCTCCAGGTAATCACAGAGGGCTGCCTAAGGAGGCAACACCAGAGATGTGATTTAAAGGTGACAAATCACAACGGATTTGGCCAGGTGAAGAGGAGAGGAAAAAGCATTTTAGCCAGAGGGAACAGTATGTGAGAAGCCCAGAGCATGGGTGACCCAGGGGGAAGCAGAGTGTGAAGGAGGAGGCTAGGTCAGGGTACCGAGGGTCTGATGAGCTAGGTTAGCATGTCACAGAAACCTTGGGGTCATAGGAACCTGTAAAGAATCTTGAACGTGTGTCCCAAAGTTTAAGAACTGGAAACCTTATACCCCATGCAACAGTAATGAGAAGGGAGATTCCACAGAAGCAATAAGGGCTCACAGGTTGAGAGCCCCAAGTAGAGTATTGCTGAGGGAGCTGGTCCCTTAGCACAAAAACAGCCATCAGCAGCTTCCAGAAGTTTCACCTCAACAAGACCCCAGGTCCAGCCTCCACCCTTGATACCTCTCCAGATGGCTATGTGCCCACTCACCATAGCCCAAGAGGCTCCCTGCAGCCCTCAGTTCCGCTGGCCAGAGGACCATGTGGGCAGCCAGTGTCTAGGAAGTAGCGCTGGCCATTCTCTCTTCCCAGGCTGGCCCCTGGGCAGAGCACAGACACACCGGCCTCCAAAGGATATGGGTTACATACCATCTTGATGCACCAGTTCCGGGGGCTCGTGGTCTGGCGCAGGCAGAAGAAGGCAACAGGTGCCAGGTCTGGGTGTGGGACGTCAGGGTTGGTTCCATCCAGTGGCTCCTCCAGGCCAGGAGGGGACGGAGGGGGACTCCGGGGCCCTGGCTGCTCAGTGATTCCTGGCTCAGGGGCCGGGGCTGCTGCAGATGAGGGTGGCAAGGTGCCGTCAGCCATGTCAGCATGGAGCAGGGAGCCCTAGGGAGCAGAGGACACATGGGGGGACTGGTTTAGCACCTACTACCCAGCCTACCTCCCCGACAGTGGGTGACACAGCTCAGACAGCCTAGCCACAGGTCCTCCCTCCCCTCCCCCTCACTGTAGCCACTGCACTTAAGTCAGAATCACTCAGCCAGATGGTCATTGGGCAAGCCAAGCTAGAGCGGGTTTCAGCAAGTCAGAACTATAAATAAATCAATTAAAAAAAAAAAACCTCAGAATGTAAATGATGTCTTTTCTTTTATTTTCATAGTGCTGAACTAGAGTTCGGGTTGGGGGTGTGACTCGGTGGTAGAGGGTATTCCCAATACTGTCATAATTAATTAATTAACTAAAGTCTAGGGCTAAGGATGTAGATCGGTTAGTAGAGTGCTTGCACAGCATGCACACCGTCCTAGATTCAGTCTCCAGCATCACACAAACCAGGCACAGTGGCACGCCTATATTCCTAGCACAGGAGAGGTAGAGGCAGAAGGGGCAGAAGTATAAGAGCATCCTCAACTACACGGGCTGTTTGAGGTCAACCTAGGCTAGAGAACCTGTCTCCAAAAATTATTGAAATATCAAATAAGTTTAAAAGGGAAGGAGAGATGGCTGCGCAGTTAAGAATGCATGCCGCTCTGGCAAGGACCCTAGTTCAGTTCCCAGTACCCACATTAGGGCATTCACAACTGTCTGCAAGGGATCTGATGCCCTCTTCTGGACACCTTGGGCACCTGCACTCCCATGCACATACACACACACATAGACACACACACACATATAACTTTAAAATACTAAAATAAATCTTTCTAAAATAACACATAAAAAAGTAGAATTATCTGTTCATCAAACCGTCAAAAAATGAAGTAAAATTTTAGGGAAATAAAGATGTTACCATGAACACAGGCTGGGCTGCCAGAGCAATGTGTTACAAAGGAGAAAGTGGGTGGAGTCAGACACTGAAGAGCAAGGAGGGACCAGCAGCAGCTTCCCTGAGGAAGTGACATTTGAGACCTCCAGAAAGCTCACACACACACACACACACACACACACACACACACACACACACCAGGATGAGAACCCAGGGCTCTACAAGACTAATCTCTCCGTTTTACAGGTGGAGAAACCGAGGCCCAGAACAGACAGGTAAGAGCAGAGCTGGGCCTTAGTCACATAACTTCTGGGTCTGTCTTGCCTCTCTGAAATCCTTAGTGCTTTCCCAAGGGGCCTCGATTTGAAGTGTCCTTGGCCTGCCAATCACACACTGGCCCCTGACTCCACCCAGGGGCAGCTCTACATGCTAGTCTTATTCTGATGCACCCGGCCAGTTCATGGGGCTATCATAGGGAAACTGAGGCCCAGGAAGAGGGGTAGCTTGAACAGAACCAGGGGTAAATGAGAAGTCAGAATTCCAGTTCCAGTCCTCCAAGCGGCAACTGGCACTGGCCTGACTTGCCCCCTGGCAGGCTATGAAGGGCAGGCACTCCTAGATCCCAGCGCCCTATAGCCTCCCCCTAGGGGCTACGCATCCCTGAAGGCTTATCCAAACTCGGCAGCAAGAGGAGGTCAGAGGGCCTGCACTCCTGACTGCTGCTGGCAGCTGCAAGGCTATTGACTGAGCCACCTTGAACTGATGGGTCCAGACACTTCTTTGTTCCCATGAGCAACGGACAGGAGCCGGTACTTCCTGCCGCTTCGCCCGGCTGGTCAGGGCCGCAGTGTTTTCTCCTGAGCTCCAAGTTTTGCTCCCATTTCCAGAAAAACAGCACAAACCTTACATAAGCACGTTGGCTAGCCACGCATCAGCCACCCAGGTAGAACGGCACCCTCCCTGGGGTGGCTCCAGTCTTCCCATCACTAGAGGCCAGCTTTGGAACCCACCTCTCTCTCCACCAACCATCACTGTAGCCAAAAGGGACCTCCTGGGTCCCTAGGGCTGCGCTGCTTCTCCCAAGCCTCAACTCACGCTACTCCCTCCTACTACAGCATACTCTCTTGGCCTCCATATCCCTGCTTGTCCTGATTGTCCTGAGCCCCTACAGTGTGCACAGCCTCCATGGCTATGGTAAACTTGCCCTCGTTCAGCCCACACAACAGCCTAAGAAAAGGATACACACACATTCAATCCGCTTCTCTTTCTGGCTTTTCACTACCCCAGTCTCCCGCCAATGCAGTGTACAGTTTCTGCGTTCGTATCTCTGTGGTTTCAGACCTGTCTCCCCAGCCTTCGACAAGGCTGTAACTGAGAGCACAGATTGTTGCCTATTACCTTTACAGCTGTAACTCCAGCCCCTGGAACAGCGAGTGCCTGGAATAAATGTTTGTTGGATACATAAATTAAAGGTACTGAAAAGTAAATAAACAAGGGGGATATGGTGGGAATCACAATGAATCACCTTTTCTTCTAAAGGAAGAGCCATTTAAGAGCAAAAGAGAAAGGCGCCGCCAGCGACGCTCTGGGGAAAGGACGCTCCAGGCAGAAGGAACGGCATGCGCGAAGACTAGGAGGCTGGAAATGGCTGAGCGCGTTTAAGGAATGAGGCCAGTGTGGCTAATGGAGCAGAGAAAGGGAACCTGAGAGCTCCATGAGGAGCTCCGAGTGCAACCTAAGTCACTGGAGGGCTTTAGGCAGGGGACTGATGTGCCCTGAGCAGCGTGGCTAAAGACATACCCTTTAGGGGTAGGAGTTAGTCAGGGAGTGTCAGAGGTGGGACACGGAGACAGAGGGCTGGGTAAATGGACCGGGAACATAGTAAAGGCTCTGGGTCTAGCATCCCCGTCATGGGAACCCTCCATGCAGCCACACAGAGGGGAAGCTGCTGGGCATAGAGGCCTCACACAACTGGCTACACCTTCTCCTCCTGCCACCTGCTGTTTGGTTCTCTCGCCCCTGTTTAGCCACACTAAGTTACCGTCCTCCATCCTCCTACCCCTCCTGCTAACCCTGTGCTTACTGCCACTCAGGCCACCATCTCCATGACAGCCCAGCTTCCTACCCCTGGCCTGCTTCTCACACTCACCTAAGCCTCCATCCTCAACTTGATTCCTAGCGGCCACCCAGTCTCTGGCCTCTGGCAGAGGTTGGGCCTGCATTTGACTTGATTTCAGCGTTCCTTCATCCAGCCTCCTTCCTTTGACTTGGTCCCAAACACCCACGCGGTCTCTACTCTAACCTGCTCCCCAGTGACTGCTTTGCCTCCACTCTCCATCCTTAGAGTTCCCAAGTCTAGCTCTAAATCCCCTCCTTCCTGCCTGTGGCCTGACTCCTTTCCCCAGGTGCCTGACTAGAACCTTGGAGGAATCAGCAGCTGAGCTCTTGAGCTTCACCCTGTTGGCAAATAAAGCCTCACCAGGACAAAAAGACATCAGTAGGTTCAGAGTCAGAGTTCCTCCACAATGCCAAAGCACCTCCCTATTGGCACTCTCTGGATCTGATCCTGACACTTTCCCCAACCATCCTTCCAGGTAGTTGTATGGCAACCACAAGGAGAGCATAGCAGAAGCCCACTGGATCTGGAATCCCATCCCCATTCCCAGTCCTGCTGGCCTCTTGGAGCCTCTCTTCTCTATATATAGCTCAACCTTTCTCTCACCTCTTCTAGTGCTATGGGTGGAAGTCACAGTGAAACCCATGGGGGAAAAGGTCTGAGCAAGCATGTGGCCATGTGTACCATGCATAAGGGCTTTTAACCCCGTGCTCCCTCTGCCATTACTATTACCACCACCATCAACATTGTCATCACAATCACTACCAATACCATCATCACTATCATCATTACCATCATTACCACCTTCATCACCACCATCTCCACCATCACCACCATCACCTTCACCACCATCACCATAATCACCTTCACCACCTCCACCACCATCACCACCTCCACCACCATCACCACCTCCACCACCATCACCACCTCCACCACCATCACCACCTTCACCACCATCACCACCAACAACAACAACATCACCACCTTCATCATTATCATCATAACTTTTATCACTACTAGCAGTATCACTATCATCACCACCACCATCACCACCATCAGACAACAATCAAAGGCCCAATAAATCCCACAATTCCATGAACATTTTCCTCCTTGAAGGAAGAGATCGGGACCCAGAGGAGTTCCACAGTGCCCAGTGTCATCAAGCTGACATAGAAAAGTGGTGGGAAAGATGAGTCCCAGCTCAAGTCTGCCCATTCCCAAGTCCAAAAACCAAACTATTACAGCAACAACTTAGTGGGTACCCTAAAAACAGGTTCCCCTCCAGGCTGAGTCAAGAGGCAATGGAGACAAAGCTGCTGGTCCAGATAAGACCTTCAGTCTCCCAAAGACAGTAGGAAGCCTATCTACCTATCTTACAGAGTATCCAGCCAGCACCAAGAGTTCTTGATGTCCTTATGTCTCCATAATTCACAGCCCTGGTAGATACCCGAGGCCTGGCCTGGTCAACCAGATTTGAGTGTGTGTGTGTGTGTGTGTGTGTGTGTGTGTGTGTGTGTTTTCACGGGGTCAGGCAACCTATTTGTTCTTCAGTCAACAGTCACAAAGCAAACAATGTCACTTCTCACACAAGCAATAAAATCATTCAGAGAATGTGATGAGTCTAGGAATCCCAGAATCAGGGTGTCTTGCTCTCATCAGAGCCAGAGGCAAACAATGCTACAATGGAATGAAGACCTTCAGTGTGGTGTTTGGGGCGTGGAGCCCAGAACAGCAACCTCAAGCCCCAGCTCTAACACCAGCCCACCTTGGCACCTGACAGCCTGAAGGTGCCTCCTACCTATGAAATGAGAAGATGACTGCCCAGTGAGCTGGGGTAACCCCACCAGGCACAGGGCTTTACACAATGAGACCACAGGCTGTTCTGCCATACCCCACAGTGGTATCTGTCGAGATTTCTACAGTCCTGGGTGTCTGGAGTCCTGGAAACCATGCCTGGTTTCACAGGTTTTCATGGTCTCCAGATCTTCA